CTACAAGTATTGTAATGATTCAAATGTTTCATAAAAACACCATGACAAGTAAAAATTTAATAGTTTTTTAAAAATTTGCAAGTTATCTAAAAAAAATTAATGCATTAGTGGACAATAAAATATTTTGAAAGAAAAATTACATACTCTTAAAGACTTACTTAAAATTTAATATTTATAATTATATTTTTTAAAAAATGAAGTATAAATATTACAGCGTCCAACATAATTGAATGTGTAGTGGGACTATAAAATATGTTATTTCATGTGAAAATAATTAAAAATAATACAGCTATAGCCTATAATTGTAAAGTGTATTTTTTTTATAAAAAATATATGCTCTACTACTATAGCAGTAATTATATGTGTAATAACTTTATAGCATACCTACTTGTGTCTTGTTTACGATTGTATTTACTTAAAAATTGTACTTGCCAATCATATTTTTAAATATTTAAACTTCATAATTTAATTTTTTTCTAATTGAATTTTTTTCCCCGCAGAAGCCGAGGAGTTGCTACATCTGCTACCTCGGGATTGGCCTATATAATATTATTCACATTAACAAAATCATATTTAATAATTGAAATGTATTTAAGTCTGGAGTTTACTATGATTCTCTTTGGTTGTATTGGCCTTTTTGGGTTAATATATCTCTATTTTTATTTGCCAGAAACTGAAAATAAGACATTATTAGAAATTGAAGAATTTTTTGTATCGAATAAAAATGGCTAAATTAAATTAATTACTTTTTTAATAATTTCGAACAATTATGTGACAACATTATTTTTTTCCAAGAGGAAGCTACACCCACATGTGTGATTTTTTGCTCATACAACATAACAGATTTTCATTTAGCATAATCAATTTTTTGTAGTAAACTTTAATGAGTAGATAGAGATATTATAAAACATAAATCTAAGAAAATGGTTTTTTATGATGTATCAATTTTTAAGAAGTCACGAGTATGTAAAATATTATAATTTAAATATCCTCATAGCATGTTTAAAAATTAGAATATCGTAAATAAATTAGTGAATAAACTTGATTATGTCCTTACCCTGTAATTTAATAATAGTAACTCAAATTTAATATTAAAATAAACAACATCAAATTAGTTCGTATAATGTGGTAGGTATACGTTTAAAATAAGCAGACAACTTAAATACAGCTATGTGGGTATGGTATCTTATTCACTTTTATGTACTGATAATAATACAATTATGAAGTTAAATTATCATTACAGTTAAAATATATTTTCAGCTATAGTATTTTATGTAAACACATTAAATCTAAAATAATAACATTTTAAAATAGTATAATTATATTGTAAAACCACTAAATATTAAGTATTATATTTAGTCAAATGTGAAATTGTGGATTTTTTTTATTGTTTTGCAAATTATATTTAAAATCAAATAAATCAAAAATTAATCTCACTATCATGAACATTGATTTGATTCACACCATTTTACGGTAAGACAAAATTGACTCACAAGTAACAATTATATAGACATATAATACTATAATAATTCTATGATAGGATTTAAAAAAAGAAAAATATGCACACAATAAAGTGTAAGATAGTATTTAAAAAAATATTTCAAAATACCTAAAAAATGTGTTATGTTGGCTATTATATTTTTAATAATATGCACAAAAACAAATATAAAATATTATTTTAATTTACCATTACTTATAGTAATATAAAATATATATATCATGGAATATACTTTTTTATGTACACTTTGTCAGAAATCTTCACTCAGAATCTTTTTTATGCAATAATATTATTGATACAAATATATGATACAGTAACTTACCTAATTAATGACGAGGTAAATTTGACAGATACTGTACAGTAGAGCGGATACCTATTTTAATACATTTTTTTATTGATTTATTCCAATAGCTTTTTAAATATATTTACATAAATTCCTTAAATTTCAAATTGTTTACCTACAATCACATTTATCTAACAACATTCATCATATTTTTAATAATTATTACGTAGTAACTTTATTAACCACTTATACTAATTAGTGGTAAATTGTGACACTCTATTTGTGATCATTGGTTATAAACTGTCATGGCATATGTGTTGATAATCCTTAAAAGCTTTATCGAAATTAAGTATCTTTTAAATTACCTGAGCATTGAGTAAGTCACTATAATAGATGTGTAAATTAGAAAATTAAAAAAATATAGGTTCATTAAATTAATCTTAAAAGTATTTCAAAATTATTTAAAATATTTTGAAGATCTGTATCGTGCAAAGAAAATAATTATTAATAATATTCGTACCGATGAAAATTGTCAAAATTAATGTTTTACTAATTTAATGTTTACTATCTTGTATTTTTATTTTTTCGGTAATTTTTTTTTAATTAACTTGTACTACTATAGCTCATTCTCAAAAATATGTCTTCGACTTCTTCGTGACTTAAGAGTTGTAGACAAAAAAAAAAATGACTTCATTAGACTTCTTAAGTGATCAAAATTTGTATTTATAGTAAGAAGTTGATTTTCGCTAGTTATTATCTAATTCAGCAAAAAATATTATTAAATATGGAAACATTGGAAAAAAACGAGTGTCCTTATAATAAACACTTAACACTTTATTTGATTGAAATCTAATTTTTTTTTTACAATAAACTGAGAAGGTAAAATTTATTGTAATGCTAACTTTAATTATATCTTACCGACAAATTTTGAAATGAACATCAAAATTTTCTCCTAAATGAAACATTATATTTTTTATCTATATTTTTAAAACATTTATTGACAACATTATAATTTCAAGATTTTTTTTCTTAATTAATTATAGAGGAAACTAGAAAATGATTCAAATGATGAAAATACTTTAAAAATAATAAAATTAGGTATAATATAAATATTAATTATTTAAATTCGAGTGCTATTGAAACGGTAAACGGTCACTTTGTACTATCCATTGTTTAAAATGCAGAACGCGGACATTTTGTACGGTCGGGTAAAAAGGTACTTTGCAAAACGAGGACACTTTGTACAATTATATACATAAAGTATATATTATAAATATAATTTTTATACCTAAGAAGTAACTAGTAATTATGTATAATGTTAATTATTAAAATAGAAAAATAAAAAATAAAATTGTTATAAAATATTATATAATAATAATAATAATAATAATCTAAATAATCAATAATATCATTTTATCATCAAACTACATGTAAAAATTTGTACAATATAAATATCAAAAGAATGTCAAAAAGTATTATAATATAAAAGTAGTATTTAGATGTAATCGTTTAGATTATTAGCTAATAAAAAATAAAAATAATATAATATAGAAATATGTCAAATATGCAAAACAATTAGACGAATGTGGCAATAGACTTCAGAAAAGACAAAAATCTTGTACGGCTGACAATAATAAACTATTTAATTTATGTAATCAGCATCAAAGAAAAGAATTACCTAACAAATATTAAATTTTTGAATTCCGTATACTTAACATGTAATTTTTAACTATATTTTCAATATTATATTATTTTTTTTTTGTCATTTGACATATTTCTATATTATACTATTTTTATTTTTATTTTTTATTAGCTAATAATCTAAAAACCATTACATCTAAATATTATTTTTATATTATATTACTTTTTGACATTTTTTTGATATTTATATTGTACACATTTTTACACATAGTTTGATGATAGAATGATATTATTGATTATTTAGATTATTATTATTATTATTATTATTATTATTATTATACAATATTTTATAACAATTTTATTTTTATTATTTTTCTTTTAATAATTAACACTATACATAATTACTAGTTACTACTTGGGTATAAAACTTATATTTATAATATAAACTTTATGCATATAATAGTACAGAGTGTTCGCGTTTCGCACTTTTAATGCCTGATCGTACAAAGTGACCGTCAACCTATTGAAACACATCTTTAGCTAGGAAAGTACCATCAAATGTCATAAAAATATCGTCAACATCCGGATTCTTGCCCCCTATAGTTATTAGTTCTTAGTGTTATTGTATATAATATGTTAATGATCTTTTTAAGACGCTTAAATTCTTATAAACCAATGTTGTAGAACATTTGCATATTATATGTTAAATTAAATTAGTTGATTATTTAGTTAATATAACATAGATTAAAATAAGGATTTAAAAATTAGTATTATAAATAATTAATTTAGTTATATAAATATGAATTATAACGAATAAAATAATGATTATCATCAATGGACCTTCATCTCGTATATTTAAAATGTTATCTAATTAAAATAGTAGTTTCATAGAAACTATAGTTTTATCGACAAGCTTTCTGACTTACAATAATACACATTTTGTGAGTTGAATGAATTAGTTTTTATTAACATTTTGTTGTGTAACTATGTTTCATAATATGACTTACGTAGCTGGTCTTATTTAAATACATTATTTAGTGTTCACAATACAAATTAAATTCAAAGAATTCAGTTATATTTGTAATACTATTTTAATTCATATAAATATATTAATATACATCATTATATTATTAACCTAACCATCAATGTCCAATAAAATTGATATCGGCGAGGAAAAACCTGCCAAAAACTATGGCTCGATGGCAACATTAGCACAAGTTAGCAAAAATCATATTTACTTATACAACAATAATAAGCCTAATGTACTATTTTATAATATTTTATCTAAATTCAAAATATGCTATAGATGTGCGCCACCATAGCACAGAGTTTTTTATTAGTGGGATTAGGTATGGAATTAACAATGTCAACGATTGTAATTCAAGATTTGTACAATAATCCAAAAAGTGATTTTTCGTTGACAACGTCTCAAATGTCGTGGTATGGTAAGCATGCATTCGCTTATTGTTTTAATTTTCAATCGAATATTTTCATTTCGGTGGTTATTGCTTAAAAGACTTAATTTATTATGAGCTGCAAAATGAGATTGCATTTTAAGTTCCGGCGGTTAACAATCGGAAAACGAACAACCGTAGAAAATACCTATTAGTAATTAGTGCAGTCAAAAATATTAAAAGTTATTAAACATTTTAAATCGTTTATAATTTTTTTTTTAATCAATTTAATTTGTTACTTTATTTGTTTTTAATCTAGTTTGCCAGTTGTATTTTATTAAATACCGCTGAAACATAAAAAAATTCACGTGTTAAAATTGTTGGTTAAATACTTACATATTATATATAGAAATTTAATATAAAAAAAAAATACATCATTTATTAGTGATAAACAAATGTACAATTTACTATTTGATTTATAACTTTATAAGATATTTATTGGTAAACTATGTTTATTATCTGAATTTGCAGCAATTAATTATTTACTTTACTAAAATATAATTAATGCATCTCGTAAGATAATATGTAATATTTACAGTAACATGTTTTTATCTCTTAAAACTAAAAATTTATCGGTTATACAATTATACGATTTTTAGTTCTATCGCGTATATAATTTTCATTACAATATTACACAAGTTTTTCAAATATCTTAAAAAATATAAATTAATATTTTTAACTAAAATATTGATACATTTTATGATATATTAACAAATAGAATAAAAATTTTTATAATTCATTTGAAAAAAAATAATTAACTCTTTCGTAAGAAAGCTTTGTTTTTCTTTATTTCTTTATTTTTTTTTTTAATTATACCAATATTTTAACTTACTAATGAATAAAAATTAAAAAAATTAAATACAAACTTCAGTAAGTACACGCCCTTATTAAAAACACCCGTAAATGTGTTTAATACTATAATATGATATTTAACCACATGTATAGGAAGTGTATTATTTATATTTCACCCAACCGGAAGTTTTCTATCGGGATTCCTGCAGGACAAGTTTGGAAGGAAAAGATGTATGATAGTAGCCAACATTCCCAGTATTTTCGGATGGATAATGTTATACTTCACACACTCCGCATTTTCACTGTACGCGTCAACTATTATGATGGGCTTGAGCATAGGATTCAGCGAAGCCCCAATACTGTCGTACGTCGGAGAAATAACCGAACCTAGACTTAGGGGAATGATGGCTTCGTTGACGTCTGCAGCAGGCATGATAGGAATGTTTTTGATTTACCTTTTAGGATATTTTTTTGAATGGAGAATTGTCGCATTACTGAGTACACTTTGTCCGATCACGTGCATATTCCTTATCTTATTGGTATGCTAATTAATTAATATTTAGTAACTATACATTTTTCTAAATAAATTGTTTGATATTTTCATTTTTTTTTTTGGTTATTTAGATTCCGGAATCTCCTATATGGTTGATCGCCAATGGGAAATACGAAAAGGCTAAAGAAGCTCTGTGTTGGTTAAGAGGATGGGTGGATCCCGAAATGGTCAACATCGAACACCTCGAGTTAATTCAATATAATCAAATGTCTGGAGTTCGAAATGGCGAAAATAATATTAAAAAGAGTCTATTTTCAAAAATAGCCCAACACAAAGATCCTTCTGTTTACAAACCGTTAGGACTAGTGATGGTTATTTTTTTTATTTCCTACGTAGTTTGTTTGTTACCTTGCAAACCATATTTTACTCAAATAATGAATGAAGTTGGTTTATCAGCTGAACAAAGTTTATTGTTGGTATGAAAACACTTTACGTTACGCACAAATAATTAATATGATGCTCATTTCACTAATTTGATTAATATTATATATTCTTGTTTTAAGGTTTTTTTTGCCATTCTACAAATCTTTGGATGCATAGTACTAAGTTTGTCTATCAATCACATGGGAAAAAGATTTTTAACTCTAGCGTCAGTTTTTATTAACTCTATTTTGCTAATTTCATTTGGTCTATACATCATAGCAACGAATAACAATTACATCAAATCAATTCCTTGGTTTCCCATAATGGTGTTAAGCGGCATTTCCTTGTTCGGAACCTCTATCAATACTTTGCCTTGGATGTTAATTAGCGAAATTTTTCCTAACAAGTAAATTCTATATATAAATATACACCGATAGTGCGTGCATAAAATAAAAAGAAAATAATACCTCAATTGGTTTTAGTATTGATCGACAAATACCCACTCGAACTAATAATTATGTTGTTATAATTATAAACTAAATTATCATTTTGAGTTATTCTATGTAAAAACAATTGGTAATAATATTATTACAAAGAAAAACGACAAAAAAATAAAATAAATGACATAACTTATGTTAATAATCTTGTATGATATCATATATTATGTTAATATGCGATATTCCTAATTTAAAATGATTTTGATTTTAAAATAAAAATCGTTTTAATACCTTATCAACTATAAAGTAAAATTTAAAGTGTTGTAGGTTATTATTGTTCCTTTTATAGTTCTTGATTAAGTTTTTATCTTTGTATTTAATAAATTAATTACATAATAATTCTTACCTATAACTTCCTAAATTAAAATATTTATTTATAGTTTATAACAACTATTAATTTTTATTTAAAAATTATTAAATGTGCTTAAAACAACTTTTTTTTACAGAAGTCGAGGAGTCGCCGCTGGAACATGTGCAGCTTTATCGTATTTACTAATGTTTATACTAACAAAATCATATTTAACAATTCAAATTTGGTTAACCTTAGAGTATACTATGCTTCTATTTGGTGGTATTGGATTTTTTGGATTAGTCTACATATATTTATATTTGCCGGAAACTGAAAATAAAACGCTATTAGAAATTGAAGAACATTTCAAATAAAATGTATGTAATTCTTTTTAATTAATTTGTTTTATGTATAACAACATAATAATGTATGTACTTGTAATTTTTTTTTTAAAAAGTACATAATATATGCATCTAAAAATTGTACAAAGTAAGATAAAATTTTATAATTGTAAATTGTTGAGTTTTGAGTTTTTTTATGAAGTTGTAAATACACAGTAAGTATAAGTTGTTTCATAAAAGTAATGTTAAAAGTATTATCAACAGTAAATATTATTCTAATTAATATTTGACAATGATCAATTTGTTTTAATAATTTAAAATGATCAAAAACGAGATTGATAATCTTCTTTTTTATTAATGTACCCATAATATATTTTGATTTTATTTTTATCTAAAATATATATTAGGTATTTATAATAACTAGTGAATTACTATTACATAATATTGTACAAGAAACTTATGGATACAATAAATTGCCAATTATTACAATAATCATAGTCCACAGACCATTTATGTTACTTTAGTTAGTTATATAATAATAATTTGTTATTAATCAACTGTTGTATTTTGCGTGTTTCTGACGTATGTAGAAAATTTTAAGTTATAAATATTTTATGCACTGGTCACACTACTGACATAACTTAATAACAATAAAACGTTAAGGTAGTTCGGCTTGAATAGATTTATTAAGTATAAGCAGATAATTATTTTGTTTAAAAACTTAATTTAAATAGACATTATAAAATAAATAATCAACTCATAACAAAGGCAAAATATTATAAAAATATTTTGAAATTTCACCAGGCTATATAAAAATAGAAATACGTATATACTGTAAGCTGTTAGTAAATTTGTTTCAAACAAGCTACAATGTTTATTGAAATGTCGCTCTACCTTTTAATGTATTTATTTAATTGATTTTCGAAAAATTTACAGCATTAAGCCTTGAAAAATCTTCTTTTTTTTATGAAAACCACATTTGATGCGAAATTTAAGTTTAATTTAAGGTTTGAATTTCAAACTTCATATTCGCCATTAGATCAGGGGCGTTATTTGATGTTTTTTTTTTTTTGGTGTGCGAGGTTTCAGTAGGCCATTTTGAAATTTTACTAGGCCATATAAAAATAGATATATACGCATATGTACATAATCCTGCCTTCAATTATTTCTATATATCGCATGTACCGAATTACTACATCAATATAAATAGAAAAAAATCAATTTAAAAACTAAAATATAATGAATATTTAACAATCATAGTCATTGACAGTATAGGTATCAATATTGATAAATGTAAAAATTAAAATTAAAATACTATTTTAGAAGATTTAATTTTGAACATTATCTCAATAGGGCGTAGGTCAATTTGGCGCATACTAGTTGCCTCCCATCCTTATCGTAAATAAAAAGGTTAATTTACACTAGTTGCCTCCGATGACCAAGTAGTTCATAATTATATACGAGTTGCCTCTCATATAGAATTAAGTAGTGGTTCATAAACTTCACTAAACAGTTCCACATAAATAGGTAATGTTAATTCATTATTAAAAATATCAGAGTTGGTTAAAAACAATAATAATATAAAAACAATCAATAAAAATAAAACATATTATACTAATTGTTAAAAATATATAGTGCAGTTAAAAACATCAGTCTTAGGTATAATAATATGTTGAATAATATTATAATAGTATTTTTAGACAAACATTTGCTGTCTGGGGTACGTCGGGAGGCAACTCATATGTAGTCGGGAGGCAATTCGTATAATAAATATTGACCTTTATGACTTCAGGAGGCAACTAGTGTGTCCCCGGTCAATTAGTACTATTTTTAAAATGGTGTTGATGAGTTGCGGCCCAGTCCCAAAATAACGTACGAGTTGCGGCCCAGGTTTATAAGAGGTACGTACAAATTGCGGCCGTACAATAATGTATATATATATGTAATATATACGTGGTAGTAGGATGTAAGATTATTTGAAGCAATTGCTTCATGTCTGAAATAGACAGGTTAATAACTAAATCCGGGTGGGTGTATAATTGTAAGATCTCAACATAAACATCATGACAAATATTATAATTAATATAATATAATATAATAATATGCTAGTATACAACTTGCCGACATGCGTATGTTTTTGTAGTTATTTTAGTTCTGTTTTATATAATTTAACAACAATTATACTAAGAATTAAGAATTAAAAATACAAACTCAATACTATAAAAGTATAAAATATATCATACATGTTTTATAATTATAAATTCTATAATATAATATAATGTTAATAATGATAAAAAAAGTAGAAATATTCTAATAAATAATATTATTTTGCAGTAATTCTATAATATAATATAATGTTAATAATGATAAAAAAATTAAAAATATTCTAATAAATAATATTATCTTATAATGATTCTATTATATAATATAATGCTAATAATGATAAAAAAGTAAAAATATTCTTATAAATAATATTACTTCGCAGCGATTCTATAATATAATATAATGTTAATAATGATATAAAAAAGTAAAAATATTCTAATAAATAATATTATTTTGCAGTGATTCTATAATATAATATAATATTAATAATGAAATAAAAAAAGTAAAAATATTCTTATAAATAATATTATTTCGCAGTGATTCTATAATATAATATAATGTTAATAATGATAAAAAAAGTAAAAATATTCTAATAAATAATATTGTAATTTAATAATTTTACTTTAATTATTGTTTTGGCCAAAACTTAAAACTTAACTTTTTAACTAATTCAAAATTACCTATTTCTTTTATTTCATGTTTTTCATCTGCTCTCTAATAAAAGTTTCTTTTTCACAGATTTTCTTTGTTCTTATAATTTTGCTTCTGAACTTTATATATGTTTCAGATTATACTTCTAATAATACACCAATGAAGTTTTATATATTAGGATGGCTAGTATAGAAGGACATGTTTAGTTTAGAGTGAAAATTTTCACAGCTGTTCGTGGTACGGTTACAGCTAGCAGTAAACTGCGCCCAAATATTCGGAGGGAACATAGCGTCTGGTGAAATGTAGTTTTCAAAAACGTAGTCTATAAATTTCAGAATTCGGTCATTTTCAGCAGGCTGTATGGCTAAAAAGTCGTCAGTATAGCAGTGTAAGACGTTTTCAGGCTCCAAAAACGGCAATCCAAAAAAATATTTTAAATAATGACTATCATCTGTGTTCTCATTATATAACTTAGTAAGTCCTCTTAACTTTGAATTTTCCTCCACTAACTTTGCCCTAAATAGAATCTACATCCTCTTATTTGTGCATTAGGGAAGACTTCTGCTACAGCACTATATATTGCTGGTTCAAAATCTATAAAAATGTCGGTAGGTGAGCACGATACCTATACCAACGTATATGGAATGATGAATTACCTACATGTTGAAATGCACACTTGTACGTAGTATTTAACTTGTTTAGTGGTAAGAAAAACACAAGAGGTAAATATACATCATTTTTAAGGCCATGAATGGTAAAAAGTTGTGTGAAATTCTTTGGACAGCTTTTGAACGTTCCATCGACGTATATTTTCTTTACGTCACATAGCATTTTTATATTTTGTTGTGTATAAAAAACAACTATTAAATTCACCTATGTTGATTTTAATTTCCATTGACTCCAAAGCAGCACGCAATTCTCCAATGCAACTTGATAGAGGGGGGGTGAACAGATAGACGGGCACAATGAATATTATGTCGAATTAATGTCAAATCATTGTTAGTTAAAGTCGGTATATATCACTTTGTTTCAATTCCGAGCGAATAAGTTTTGACGGTTTACAAGAAATGTCTTCTTCAGCTTTTCTTTTTAGAGAATTACTCATTGTTTGCCTATTTAGGACTTTTTCATCAGGTTTACTATTTTTGTGATCGGTGTTACTCTCAACTATTGCATTTAAAGGTGATAATTTAATACATTAAGATTCAACCAAAAATCAGATTAAATTGTTATTTATTTTAAACTGTAATTTTAAGCGTTAGTAAAACATTATAAATTATAAACATTAAAGATTGTTATAAGGAATTTCATTGTCTTTATTTATTTTTAATCTAAATTTTAAAATGTGTGAAAAAAATTAATTCTTATCGAGGTTGTTCGTGACGTATCTTAAGTTCTCAAAGCAAAAAGTTGGGAATCACTGATCTATATTATATAAAAATACAACTTTCCATGTACATAGCGAATCCTTCATTTATAATTATGTATATATAACTTAGGTAATGATAATTACTCGGCCGCAACTCACCTGTAACTAAGATATTGTCGGGCCGCAACTAACCTATACCTAAAATATTACCGAGCCGCAATTAACCGGTCATCAACGACATCAACACCGGAAACGACAAGTCGGGCCGCAACTCGACATCCTCAGCCTTTTAAAAGCAAAGGGTGCAATCGCGCACCCTGATTCCTCCCCAAATGACGCCCCTGATTTCGTTTTTTTTTTACGTTTTTACATCCCCCGTCTCCTCGACAACACCTATAGTCCATGCACACGACTGCAACTTCATGTACAACTATCAACGCACGTTATTCGATATTAATTGTTTTTGACATGTTTATTATGGCTGGAGGGTCATTCTGTTGATTTGTCCGACACCAAGAATGTTACCATGACGTCATTGATGCGTTCACGTGTGTGTGTCTGTGTGCATCAACCGGTGAGGATCGGTTCCCGAAAATTAGCGATTTTATGAACGTTATCGGAATCGCGGTGGCTTGTGATCTATTAGTAACATTAGGTATAGCCCGTTGTATAATAAATGTATTGAACTATTTACGATAAAAATAACTCGTTGTAAATTATATAATATAACTAACGTTGGTTAATAGTTTGTTCATCTATGTCATTTATTTTTTACACAGGTTAAAAAAGTTACCTACAGTTTAATCTTCGTCTCCTCGTATCTAATACCAAATTGACATCGACATTCTTATGTCAACTATATTCAGTAGAAACAAGATATATACATGTACCGATGTATCTGTATGTAGTGTAGA